TTCTCAGCAATCTTAGAGATAAATAATATTGTTATCTCCATTTTACAGAGATTAAACTGAGTCCACAGGAATTATGTGACTGTCCCGAGATCACAGTGGTGAGTGAGCACCAGCCTGGTCGCTGTTTTACCCTGATTCCTGGACTCTTGACCATTATGCTATGCCATTCTGTATAGATTAAGTGGAAGGAGAATTGGAGAGATCCTGTGTGGCAACTCACAGGATAGGTGAGAGTGAAGGTAGGAAGTGTATATGGAGAAGGTGTCTTCTAAAGACACAGTGTTCATAGTTCCACTCCAGGGCTCAAGGAACAGTGGCTCATGCCTGTAATCACAGCACTTTGGGAGACAGAGGTGTGCAGATCGCTTGAGCCCAGGAGTTCAAGACCAACCTGGGCAACATGGCAGAACCCTGTCTCTACAAAAAATAAAAAAAATTAGCTGGGCATGTTGGTGGCATGTGCCTGTTGTCCCAGCTACTTGGTGAGCCAAGGTGGGAGGATGGCTAGAGCCTGGGAAGTTGAGGCTGCAATGAGCTGTGTTCATCACATTGCACTTCAGCCTTATTGACAATGCGAGACCCTGCTTCAAAAGAAAAAAAAAAAGATCGGCTGTAAAGAAGAAACTTTTGGTTATAAAGTCGGTGAGGCATTGTCAGGAGTACTGGAGTGAATGGAATCAGCAAGATCTGTCAGTGTCAAAGGAGGGGCTCTAAATGTCACTGTCACAACATACACACATAATGGCCATCATCCAATTACCTTCATTATGTTGCATGTATTATAGTTTGGCCTTGAGGCAGAGGGCAGGATAAGATGATCTCTGCTGGGCTACCTGCCCTAACCATGACTCCTTCTTAGGGGAGCCACAAAAGAAGTTGATGTCTTGAGGTGCCAGTCAGATGGAGAAACTGACTTTCCTTGCAGGAGCCCTTCCTTGCAACTCATCTGGCAATCTATGTCCCAAGTGGCCAAGCTGTGGGCACCCCCAGGCCAGGCTGTTCCAGCTGGACCCAGGAGCTCAGCTATGCAAATATCCATTATGAGTTTGTATTTGTGGCAACCTCACCTCTTGTTTTTAAATCTCCATTGCCCACTAGAAGAGATTCTGTCTAGAAAATCTGAACAGTAGTTTTTAATTAGTTTGTTTTTTGTTCAAATGGTGAGTTTCTTAACTTGTAGGCGTGGACTTGTGATTTTATTAGCTATTCTTAGCTTCATTCTGGTGATTTATCTAACAAAATTTTATTTTGCTTTCATTTGCCACCTAATCCAATGCTATAATCTACACTTCTGCAATTTGTTGTTCCTAAAATAAGCTGTGACCTTCCGCGCCTATGTTTTCGACATGCCCTTTTTCTCCTCATTGACTCACATCTAATGCCCAGTTCAAATACCACTTTATCTGAGAGCTCCCCACCGACCCAGTATGGCCAGAGTAAATGACTCTGAACTCCCAAAGCCTGTTGAAGACATCCTTCCCCTTCCAGCGAACCTTGAGCATCTCCAGGAGGAAACCCACTCCCCTTCAGAAGGTGTACATAGGCAGGGGCTGGGCTTCATACCCCGTGGGGCAAGGACAAACCCACTGGGTGAGGTGTGCACCGGTTACACCAGTCCTGAGTGGTCACTCTCCACTCATCAAGTTAACAGAGAGCTTCGGGATCTTCTTCACAAAGAGGGCTTCTCATGGTAGAGAGCACTCCAGCTAAGGAGGGGCAAATGTTCAGATGTTCAGAAGGATGATGAGCTTAGGCCCTTTTAACTCCCTCTGTAGGCATACGCCAAGGTTTCTGCTGGTTACCAGTCACTCTCCACTCATCAAGTTGTCGTGTCTGGGGAAGACTCTTTGCATTGACCAGTGGTGTCTACTTTTGCTCTATAGCTAGATAGAAAGGGTTAAGCAGTTAGGCAATCCCCCTGTGGCTCAGTAATTTCTGGAGAATTAGCACAAGTAACTTGGATAATGCAGACTTATGTCCTGGATGATGCAGTGCCCTGCAAAATCCCAATGCAAATGAGCTCCAGCTGTGTTAGCCTTGGTGGCTAAGGAGTCTGGCTGGCCCATTCCTGGGAGCCTTTGCAGATAACTGTTGGGAGTTCTTGCAGATCCTGCATCCCAGGGGACAGACAGCAAAAGTCCTGACAGAACTTCTTATGTTGGGGGTAAGAATTATGCTACAGGTGACTATCACCACCTTCTCACCAGATAGGGTTAGCAGTAAGGTCAGGAGTAAGGCACAAAGGGCTGAGGGGCTCTTCAGTCTTGCCCCATTCTATTTCTTTTCATAGGACTTATCCCAGTCACACAGGTGCGCAAAGTCATCTTCTGTTGTCCCACAAAACCTCTAATTATTTAGTAAGCACTTATATAGGACTTACTATGTGTTAAGCACTGTTGAAAGTACTTAACAGATATTAACTCATTCCCTCCTATGGCAACCTCAGCATTCTGGCTCGGAGTCTGTGACTGGCTATGGTGAGCATGACCTGTGAGGTCAGACAGATCTTAGCTTCAAAGCCTGGTTCTATCACTTCGTAGATCTGTGACCAAGAGCAAGTTGTTTGGTTCCCATCTGCCCCGGTTTTCCCATTTATAAGATGGGTCTTCAAGAGATTGCGTTGAAGATTAAATGAGATCGTGCACACAAAGCACTCAGCCTAGGACCTGATGTTTTACGTGATGGGTGGCTGTGATGACAATGAGGAGGAAAACCTGCTTTCTCAGGGATTTCTCTCTGAAGTCTGTGGGATTTGATGCCAATGTGCTCTCCCCTGAACAGAAAACTGTCTACTGTGTTCTAGAGACATGTGGCCACCACCTTTCTAAACTCTGGAATTCCACTGGGGGTGATCAGGGGTTCCACTTACATGGGGATCTCCATGCCCTCAGGAGATCTGCTGTCTGGTGAAATGATAAAGAAAGCACAGGAAGTTGTTAAACCAGAGATCCTACCAGAGAGTCTTAGGACACTGTCCAGGCAGAAAACTCAGCTCCGTGCATTTACGCTTCTGATCTGTTCACTTCTTTGCCAGGTGCAGCAGAAACCTTGGCTTATGCCTGCAGAGGGAGTTATAAGGGCCTAAGCTCATCACCCTACTGAACATCTGAACATTTGCCCCTTCTTAGCTGGAGTGCTCTCTACCATGAGAAGCCCTCTTTGTGAAGAAGATCCCGAAGCCCTCTGTTAACAAGGCAGCCTAGGACATAGGGTCCCCCTCGCCGCATCTCCAGGGAGAAACTCCTATTCCAATCCTGCCCCTTTAGTGGAAGGGAGGACAGGAGTCTTGACCATCCTAAACCCATTCACTGTGTTTTCCCTTGAATATTCAGGGATCTGGAATGCTCTCAGGGAAAGCACAGCGAAGAGGCCCAGGTCCTGGATGTCACTGAAAGGTCCAAAGGCACCAGCTGGGAGTTGAGGATAACCTTTGCCCCTTTGTAATGTCACTTCAAGCCTGTCTTTTGCTAGAGGCCTGGGACTCTTAGACTCCCTCTGACCTCCGGGCTGGCCCTACTGATCTCTGGGCTGGTAGGCCTGAGTTTTGCCGGCAGCCTCAGACACCAGGAAGCCTGATGATCCAGCTCTTTACCCGCTCCCAATCCCCACTTCCCCACCTACAAGTTAGCCAGCTGGCAGAAAGTTAATGAGTGATTTATTAAGTTCCACAGGAATATCACCTCCTAACCCAAACCCTCCCCACCCAAACCCAGATGACTACAGAAGACTTTTATTTTAGGGTCTAACTAGTCATAAAACGTATTTTGCCAAGGAGCACAGATGTGGATTTTGTGCCTCAGAGCAGTGTTTTCGCTGAGCTGGTTCAGGAGGACATCTGTGGCTGTGGTGTGGGAGGTAAATCCTGCCCTGCACAGCTCCCCAGGGACTGGGTTTCCACTGAATCAAGATAAGGCAGGTAGAGCTATTGTCAATATTTAATCAGGATGCACAGGATTCGGCTCTGTAAAGGCAGCACTCAGGCCTGTGTTTGCAGGCTCTGGAGGAGTGCCAAGGAAAGTGTTCGGCCCCTGCCCCATGCTGTAAGGGCAACATGACATAGTTATTTGTCCCACAGTCAATCCCAGGAATTCGGATGCATATGCCATGCTGGATGGCACCTCCCAGGCTCCCGCATCTTTCATAGCAATGCCGGGGCTTTGTGTCTGTGCTTGGCTGGAAGGGACAAAGGTGGGAGCTCCAGCCCTTACTCTCTGGGAAAAGACCCCATTTTCTGAATTGGACATTCCCAGGCCCTTTCTTATCGGCCCTGCTGCTCTGTCCACCTTCTCTGCTCAGCCAGCGCTCAGCAGGCTCATCCAAGCAGGGGTCTTGCCCCTTTCTATTTCCCAATGACTCATCCTAGGGATTTGGTTTCCCTAGGGCTGATCTGCCCTCAGATCTGAGGGAACTCCTGGGCTCTGCTGCACTGGGGACAGGATGGTGGACCCTGAGCAGCTGAGTCCTGGCTTCTCTGGCCTGCTCCATAGCGTCCTCTGACCTCAACACACAAGCACATCGCCCTTGCTTCCCACCCAGCTTTCCTCCTGGATGTCACTTGCTCTCCCATTTCTCCCCTTGGGTGTGTGTGTAGGGTGCTGGGCAAGAATGAGCTCTTGATATTCTCTGATAGAAGTCCTGGAGGTGTAACGGACTATTTAGTACTTCCTGACAGATCTCCTCCAGCACCATCACCCAAATCACAGTTCCTCACAGGGCTTTGGGAGCCATGAGATCTCCCAATAATGATTGATTGCTTATTATGCTCTAGGCATAGAGATAAGAGCTTTTTGCATTACCTCATTTAATTCCTCAGTACATCTTCTGAGGTACTATCATGAACTTCATTTTATAGAAGAGGCTAAAGAGATACAGAGAGGTTAGGTAGCTTATGTATAGTCACACAGCTCTTAAGTAGCCAAGCTGGGATGGAAGCTAACGCCTGTCTGAGTCCATGCTGCATCCTTGATCACCACATGCCACCGTTTCTCTACTGTAAAGAATTAGGACAACCTTATTTTAGATTTATTGTAAGCATACGAGTAACACATGAATACATTATTCTTGTGAAAAAAATTCAAACGGCTCAGATAAGGCTAGAATCCCCTTGATCAATATTCTGTCTTTTCTATCACTTTCCTCTTCTCGATGGGTAATTTTTGTTATCAGTTTGGCTTGTGTCATTTCAGACCTTTTCCTATATGTTTACATACACGTATATGTCTGCATACAAAACGCCCAAATCTCTTGTTGTTCTTTAACATGTGGAATCCTACTTGTAAACTTCATTCTGAAACTTCCTTCCCTTCACAATATGTCTCTTTTCGTGTAAGCACCAGCAGATTCATTCATTCCTTTCTACCACTGCCCAGAATTTCATGTGATGGTTATACAGCATAGTTCTCTGTTTTCTGTTTCTGGTCATTCCCCAGTCAGTGAACATTTAAGTTGTAACTAAATGTCCATTATAACGATACTTCACTGAAGATCCTTGGACATAGCTCCTTGTGTACTTTTGTGAGTATTTTTCTAGGGCGATGCCGGTGGAATTGCTGTGTGATAGAGTATGCAAATTTTAAATTTTAATAGACGTTGACAAATGATCCTCTAAAGTGGCTGCACTAATCAATAACTTTGTAAGAATTGTTACATACGTGTTGGGGAAAAGCACCATCTCTCCAGGGAGAGCAGCACAAGAGAAAGCGCGCTGCAGTTGCGGGGGTATGTGCACATAGGCAGCAAAAGGTGTGAGCTGTGGCTTCACAGCTGTCCAGTTGGGCAGGTGATAACCTCTATGGGCCTCATTGTTTACACCTGCAAAACAGAGAACATAATCTCAATAACTCAGAGGGCCATTATGAGGATCAACTGAGATGATTGGTGAGCAGCTTATAGCATATGGCCATGTTCATACAAAGCACTTGACAACAACAATACTTAGCTAGGTGGGGAGAAAATGAAGACAGTGAAGGGTTGGGCTGTCTTCCCTGGAAAATCTTTAGGGACAGCAAGCCTACACCTGGGCTAGACTCAGGTGTTCTCCTCTGGAGGGAGGGCTGGATAACAGGGCTTTGATACCTAGCCAAATTCAGAGCAGAACCATAAGCCACAAGCCGTGACCTTGACCTTGAGTTCTCTTCAGTCCAGCCTAGGGGAGGTAGAAGACATGGACAGCATGGATATTCATTACCTTTTTATGAAAATTATAAATTCACAAGAAATGCTTTTTATGTTTTTGCCTTTGAACTACTCTAACTTTTAAACCCGAACTCCTTTAACATTCTGTGTGGCAAATGCGCAGGGTTTTAGGCCATTAAGGCAATGCCAGGAAAGGAATAAAGCCTTCATCTGGTACATTTATTTTCCTGCTATCAGCATGGCATAATCATCTTGGCTCTGACTTTCATTTGGTATGAGTAACCTTGAGAAAATTGTGGAAGCTCTCAAATCTCAGTCCTTTGTAAAAATTGAATGATAATTTTATCTATAAGAAAAGCTAATGCTTATGGAGCACTGAAAGTGTTCCAGACATTGGGCTAATTACATTTTAGCTGCATTATTTTGTTATTATCTAATTTACTGCTCATAATTAATAGAAGTGGATGGATGATGGCTCCTGGAGGTGAATCTGAGTTCAAATCTATTCGCAGCATGGCCTTGGGCAAGTGTCCATGTTTCTCTGTGGCTCAGGCAGTTTTGTTGGGAAGTTTAAGAGACTGATACATGAGACTCCAGAATTAGCCCATGGGCTCTCAGCAGGAGAGGTCCCCTCCCTGACCATAATGGGAAGCAGCAAGTACCAGGCAGACCTGTGAAGGATTCCCCGCTCCAAGTGCCACTCTGTTTATGGGACAGAAGTTGACCTGGAGGTCGGGGGTGGGGCAAAGGCCCTTGTGAAAATCCAAGCAAAGGTAATCCTGAGAGCATTTATAGTCCCCAAATACCAGAGCTGAGCCCATCTCTCCTGAGGAGTTGTGGCCTTCTCCTGGGCCTGGTAGATGAGGCCATTGTTGGCAATCCTTGGCTTAACAGGAAGCAATGGAGACCCTGCCTTCCAGGCCTGCTTCTTGGAAATCTTCATGGTGAGACTTATCCACGGCTTCTTAAAACCACAGTCTCCCCACTTCCATCCCTCTCCATGCCCAACTCCACTGTGCCAAAGGATTGCCCAAGGCCTAATCCCTCTTCCTCCAGCTTGTAAACCCTGCTGAAACCCAGGGCAAAAGTTACCCAGGAAGGGAAGCACAACAGCCTCTCCTTGGCTTCTTGGAGCTCCTCGGGTCTGCTTTCCTTACAAGAGTTGTAAGATGGGAATTCTAAGAATGAAGTAAGAGAACGGGACACAAAGAGAGGTAAATTTTGATGGCAGAGTGCTTTGGAGACTTGTCCCAGGAGGCAGGCCTAAGCATGGTGCCATAGAAAGAGAAGGGAAGGTAGAGGAAGAGAGAGAGGAAGAGGGAGAGGAAGAGGAAGAGGGAGAGGGAGAGGGAGACGGAGAGGTCAGGAGGTGTGGGGGGGAGGGGCAGGAGGAGGGATCAGGGAATATCTGATGAGTGTGGAAACTGAGGCACACAGGGGTGAAGTTCCTTGCTCAAAGGCGCATAGCAGTAAGAAGAGGTGCCAAAATTTGAACCTGAGTAATCTTTTCTTCAGAGCCTATGCCCTGAACCACTATAGTGAACGGCCTTTGTAAAATGGGGCTACAATGACTATCCCTGTATTTTACTGAGTTCTTGGGAAGGATAAAATATTCGTGACTGGTGACTGGGAAAAAGTTGACACTCAACACTGGTTCATTCCCTTCTCCCTCTTCTCTTCTGTTTTTAAAATGGAGGCACCTGGCCGTAGAGAATCCTGGTTACTATTATTTACTAGACTCAGATCCCTCCACACCACAGAGGGGTGGATGTTTAGTAAAGGGGCCTGTGCTGTATGTGTTTGTGATGGGGAAGGCTGGTGGTGGTAGTGGGGAAGCTGGGCGGACACCTGCATTCTTCTTTGTTGTCTCCAGACCAGATAGGGGCCAAGCCCTAAACAGCTTTAGGAGCCTGGAGAGAGATAACAGGGCCCAGGGCTGGCCTGTCAAATTCAGGTTCCTGCAGCCTGCAGGGAGCCAGGGGACGGGTGGCTTCAGAGGCCTTTCTAAGTGTGCACTTTGCCCCGGACTGTGACCTTGGAATGTGCCCAGCCCCTGTCTGGGCTGGCAGATACCAGGCATCATCATAAGGGCATGGAACCAGTCAGATGGTGATCCCTGAGGCCTTCAGACCTGGCCCTCTGCCCCAGTTATGGTCTCATCTGTCCTCAGACCCGAGATAAAGCAATTGGGCTGCCAGGCTGAAGTCTAAGCAGGCAATGCTTCTGTTCAGGCCTGAATGTGGTGTGCTCTGGCCTCTGATGGCATTTGAGGGAAAGTGGCCAAGTGCCGTGAAGCGAACTCTGGCCCAGCCGACCTGAGCTCAAACCCTGACTCCTTTTACTATCCTGATGATCCTGGTCAAGTCACTTTACCTCTCTACACCTCTGTTTCTTCATCTGTAAAATGAGGATAATAATACTGGTCTCAGAGCTTGTGGGTGGTTCAGTTAAAGGTGCTCGCATTTGTCAAAGGGCTTGGCATGGAACAGGAGCTCTTTTTCTTTTTTACCTCTCTTTGGAATTGCTCCTTGTCTAATGAAGACATTGGTCCTGAGGCCACCTTCTCTGATGGTCTACTTTGTCTTCCTTGAGTCTAAAAGCATCAGGAAGGACCCAAAGCACCCTGGAGCTGGCCCCATGCTTGGAGCCGGAGTGACTGACAAAGCCTAGCCAGGCTCACCTTCCAAGTAGCCTTGAGAGGCGAGGCCAGACTGGGCTGAGACCCAAATGGCAGCAACAGTCTCTGCAGGGAAAGTACCCAGAACCACTGGGGTAGATTCTTGTAAATTTCAGTTATATCTCCTGGGAACCAGTCCTGGCTTGCTTTGATAGATTTTTTTTGGCTTTCAAGTTATGGCACATGGATTTCTAAATTTCAAAGCCCTTTAGCAATATGCAAATGGTCTTAATTTGAGGTGTAACAGACAGGTGGAATTAGCACTCTGAAGCCAGCACTTTCTTGGTAGCTCCTGCCGTGAAGCAGATAACTCAAAAGCAAGATGATTCTTTTCCTATAGAAATCATTTAGGTCTCTTTCATCTGGTGGTTTTTCTAGGCTGTGGTGCTGAAGAGGGTAGCATTTGAGAACATTCTAAGAAGAAACTTTATTTTCCTGCTTTTGAAAATGACATAATGTTTTCTGTGACTGTGGGTAGCAGGAACAAACTGGGGGCTGTGGCTTGGGTGATAGTTGGGTCAGTCTTAGATCAGAGAGGAAGCTGCCAGCCAACTCTGGTCCTTCCCTGGGGCTTGTTTTGGTGTTTCCTTGTCTAATTTTCCTTTGTTTCTCTAACTTTTTGTGTGCTTTTCTTTTTCTGTGGGACACTCTGTTCCAATAGGGGAATGGCCCTGACTACATTCCTGGGATTAAGATAATGGTTAAAAGCATGATCTTTAGAGCTGAACTAATGTGGATTTAAATTCTGACTTTTTCCATTTTCAGTCCTTGTGACTATGGCACTTCATTTCACCACCTTAAGACTTGGTTACTTCTAGGATGGATATAAAAACAGCACCTGCTTCACTTTGCCAGGATTAAAAACATAATTATGTAAATCACACAGAATAGCAACAACACTTAAAAACTCTTACAGAATGTTTAGTAGTACAGGTTGAGTATCCTTTATCCAAAATACTTGGGATAAGCTATGTTCTAAATTTCAGATTTTTCCAGATTTTGGAGCATTGGCATTATACTTACCTTTTGAGCATTCCTAATCCAAAAATCTAAAATTTGAAATGCGATAATGAGCATTTTCTTTGAGTATCATGTTGGTGCTCAAAAAAGTTTCAGATTTTGGAGAACTGTGGATTTTGGATTTTTGGGTTAAGGATATTCAATCTGTATTATCAATACACTTAGGAGCTCTGACCTACCAGTAGCAACTGATGAGTCATATGATGTATTCCAAACTGTGCTTAGTGGTCTATGGAGAAACGAGAGAAAGAACAGCCTGGGTCTTGGTTCTAAGGAGATCAGAGAGAGACGAGAGTTACACATGAATGCAAAATGATGAGCTAAACAGATGCGAGTCAGTGTTTAATAAAATGCTAAGTTGAATTAGGTGGGTGATAAGAGGAATTGAAACGCAGGGAAGAGAGGTCACTATGAGAAGTGGGGGCTGCCTGGCATTTACTGGTGCCAGGTTTCACTAGGCCTCTCAATTCTCACCATAGCCCTGGGGAGTGGACATTTTAACCCCCATTTTATTCACAAAAGGGCACTAAGAGATGTGAAATGAGTCATCCAAGGCCATACAGCTAGAATTGGCATTTGAACCTAACCTGTAACATGGGGGGCAGGCTTGAGCTGACCTTGAAAGAAGGGTAGAGTTCAGAAAGGCAGAGGTAAAAGGGAGCTGCATTCCTTGGCTTGCTGCTTTATGGGGCTGTGGAACTGTGCCCAACTGGGAAGACATTATGACTGTTGCTTGGGGCAAGAGAAGGCCCCCTTCGGGAAGACTGCCGGGCTTGTCATGCCTGGCAGGCTGTGGGCATCAGGGCCAGCCAGTCCTGGCAGGCAAAGACCACATACGGCTTCTGCCTTGCCACAGCCCAGAAACGAAAGTTGATATGCACCCTGGCCCCACAAGACGCCAGGCATTTGCCTTCTTATCAAGCTGGGCACATTCCATGGCCAAGTGGCCACCTGGGTGACTTTTGTCAGAGCAGATCTACTTCAGGCTGTGTGCGCATTTGCATTCCTGCCTGTCTGGCAAGTTTTGCATTTTGAGAGTCTGGCCTGGCTACATGGGGGCTGGCAGGATGGTGTGCTACCCACGCTGCCCTTCAGCAGCAATGAGACTGACAGCACCCTGGGACAGACACTGGATCTGGTGTAAGAGGACCTAGATTTGAATCCTCTCCTACCTTTCTTAGTTGTATGACCCTGAGTGGGCCACCTCATCTCTCCAGGCCTCCATTTCCTTGACCATAAAATGGGAATGGTAAAAAAAAAACAAAAACCTACTTCTAGTTTCATGTTGAATATTAAATATAAGGAGGCTGACCTACCTTGGTAGGTGTTCCATAAAATTAATTACTATTTTTAATGGCATTAGCTATTTCTGGAATATTGAGAGTCCTGAGCTTTAGAATAGGGCACAGGCAGCAGGGTTGGGGATGGTGGGGAGTGGGCAAGGATGAATACAAAAATGTGGTGTGAAGCCACTGTGATTCCTGGCTTGCTTACCCTTGGAAGAGCCCCAGCTTCCCATCCTGAGCTACGAGAGGACATTTGAGTGAAGTTTGGGCTTTTTGAAACTCTATGCTTCACCTGATAGCTCAGAAGGGCTGTGTGTTGTGATGAGACTTTGCCCCTAAAAATTCTCTGCTGGGCTGAAGCTGGGCTTGAGGAGAGTTTAGCTCAAATATATTACCCAGTTGGGAACTGTATCCCAGATGAGAGACCGTAGCAATCATATGTGCAAATGAAGCACACATTTGGACATTACGCATAGCAGTATGCAAATAAACATAATATTTCTCATCTTATATCCAGGGCTTAGTGGAAACAGAACACAATATGTGTCAGACACACTTAGATTTAAACCACAGCTTGCCTCCTGTATGAACTTGGGCAAGCTCCTGAATTTCTCTTAGCCTCCTTTCTCATGTCAAGAGGGTCACATTCCTTTACCTTTTCTTTCTCTGGGCACTGGCAACAGCCGTGTGGGGTTGGCAATATTATGATCATTATCATGATCAGCAAACAGTCTCAGATCACTTAAGTGATTTGGCCAAGATCACTCATCTAAGAGACCCAGGGTAAGAACAAGGTGTTGCACTAGGATCAAACCCTACCTGTTGAAAACCTCAGTCAGGTCCCCAGGGACCCTGACAAAGGAGTCCTGAGCTGGCTGTCCAGTTGGAGACCTTGAGCCCTTCCTCAGACTTTCCAATCCCTGTGCTTTTCCCAACTAAATTCCTGTTGCTTGGTGATACCAACTGGATATTTGCATAGTGGATCTCAGAGAACAATCTCAGGCCAAAACCCTGATGTGCTATGAGACATTGGCTAATGATACGAGGCACCATTGGTCTGTTGCCGTGGAGCAGATGGGGTAGATTGACTATTTCGGGGGGTGTAAAAATTTTCTGGAGAGCCATTGCTATAAAAGCTCATAAATGGGCTGCAAGGTGTTTCTGTGGAGACCTTTATTGGGCTTATATATGAAGAGTCACTAGGGAATCATCAAAAGGGTCCGAGGTTTTGATTTTGACTATTTCAGCCTGAAGTCAACTTTATTCTCAAAAACCTGGCTGACCAGCCAACAGCTCTGATGAACACAACACGGAATTGGGTGACAGTGGGGACGGTAGTTCTGGTTAATTCTGGGTTTCAGAAAATGGAAAACGACTCCTTAAGGGTGGCAGACCTGTAGATCAAATGGGAATTTTATTTTCCTCAGTAAATGAGGGGAAAGTTCAAAGTGGCTAGAGGAGATGCTGTCACTTTTGTGAATGCATTCTTAGTGTTTTCTTCATTTGGCCTTGAACTTGTTAGCAGGCGCACGTGGATGCTGACTGCTGTAAGGTTCTGGGGGAAGAGGAAGAGAGGCTGCATAGTGAACTGCACTAGGCCAGGAAGAGCAGGTTTCTACTAATCAGGTTGCATGCCAGTCTGAGATCTCAGTTTAATGTTTTGTCAAAGAAGCAAGATTGTCAGAGGTAAGGACTAAAACTAGTGTATAAAAAGAAAGGAGAAAGGTTGAGAGGAAACATGAAGAGGAAAATCAAGGAGGCAGAAGAGGATAAAAGAAGGAAGGGAGAGAAAACAAAAGAGAAAGAGGGAAGGAAAGAGGGGGAAAAAGAGTATGGAGTGTATTCCATGACTACATCACAAGCAAGGATAGAGAGAGGAGGCTGGAGAAGAGGCAGGTGATGGTTGCCTGAGTCAGGCCCAGGGCTGGAGACACAGTGGTTTGATTGACAGTTTTGGAGGCTTCTGACTGGGGCTTAGGGGCTGCTGACCTCTTCGTTTCAGCTCCTCCTCTTACTCCCCCTATCCCCTCAGCTTCATGGGGTATAGGTGAAAGGAATAGAGGACAAAGAATATTTATCAAAGTTTTCCTTTATAAAAAGGTAACTTATCTTAGTCCTTTTGTTCTGCTACAACAGAATTCCCGAGACTAGGTAATTTGTAAAGAACAGAAATTTCTCACAGTTCTGGAGGTTGGGAAGACCAGGGCACCAGCAGGTTTGGTGTCTGGTGATGGCTGCTCTGGGCTTCCAAGATGGCGCCCTCACACTGCATCCTCCAGAGAGAGGAACACTGTGTCCTCATGGCTGAACACGGAAGGACAAGTGGGGGCCAACTCCTTGTGCCAAACCTCTGTATAAGGGAACTTAATTCCAAACCCGAGGGAGGAGCTCTCATGGCCTAATCACCTCTTAAAAGCTTCATCTCTTAATACTATCACATTGGCTGACTTTTGGAGGGGACACATTTAAACCACAGCATAACCCAATTCTGCCCTTTCCAGTATGACAAGCTGCCAAAACCCATCATGTCTCTCTCTGAGTGAGCGTTTCTTCTTCATGGCTTTTAAAGTGAGTTGTTTCCTTTTTCCCGGGGTGTCAGGATGCAACACACAGTGCCTGCTTTCGCGTCTTCACAGATTTCTCTTCTTTTCGTCAATGCTTGTGATGCAGTCATGAAATAGAGTCCGTACTTTCCCCCCTTCTCTCCTTCCCTCTTTCTCTTTCTTTTTTTTTTCTATCGCTTCCTTCCTTTAACCTCTGCCTCCTTGATTCTCCTCTTCTTTCCTCTCACTCTTTCTCCTTTCTCTGTATACACTAGTTTTGGTCCTTACTTCTGACAATCTTGCTTCTTTAATAAAATTGTGGGCTCCCTGAGGCCAGCGACCATGTCCTGGACATTTGTCCACATGCATCTCAGCGAGGTTTTGACCTTCCTGACCTGTGACTTTGTTGCAAATACCAAGGCAAGAGCACTGTCTTTCCTCACCCAGCCTTCCTGGGATGCATTTTTTGATTCTTTGATCTATCTGCTGTTGAAGCAGCTTTGGTAGATGATGGTTGCCTTATCTCTTTCCTGGATGGCTGGTGCCTACTCTCAGCCCAGTGTTAGCAGCCACAGCTGCTTGTTTTGGCTGCACAGACCCTTTTTCAAACAAAACAAGTGGTTTTGGATAACAAGCAGGCAAGTCTAGCACTCCCCCTTCTCTGCATTTCTTTATTCCCCTGCTGGCAACCAGAATTCTTAGTGGCTTGAAAAACTAAAAATATCTCTGAGCCTTACGTTTCTGACTCACCGTGTCTGAAAAATGAACAAAAACAAACCAAACCCAAAACAAATTCTCTAGCTCTACTCCTGGGATATTATTGCAGACAAACACCATGATCCAAATTTCAAAGAGTGAAACTTTGGCTTTTCATTGCTATGGGTTATGACCATGATGCAGAGATGCATGAGAATAGGGAACAAGAAGTCTCCAGGGAAGGGTGGATTCGAAACCTCAAGGTTAAATAGCTAATGTTTCTGGTGCCCTTGATACGTACCAGGCACCAGCACCAGGATAACTGCTTCACGTACATTTTCATTGAGTCCTCAAACAACTGTAGGAGGCAAGCCAGTGTTCTGTACATGCCTATTTGTAATGAGAAAACTGAGGCTTAAGAAAGGCTAAGTAGTTTACCTTAGCTTACGTACCTAGAGACGCACCTGGGAGGGACTCTGGTTCTCATTCTCTTCTTAGCTCTTACATTGTGCTACCTTCAAAAGGAAAATGATAATTTCAAAGTCATAGAAAACTTTTAGGAATCAGGCTCCGGAGGGAGACAATCCCACCTAAAATGAGCTCTCAGAGTAATAAATCATTGCAAGAAGATTGTGAGGTTTGCTTTCATTTTGTATTTTGGGTTCATTCGACTAGCCCTATAAAAGTATGCTGTTTACCTCTGGACACCATTGCTACAATTTTTATTGCTGTCACTAGGTAAACAAGCATCTTAATTCAGAACCAGTGGCACCAGCATCAATTGGGAGTTTGTTAGAAATGCAAGGTCTCAGGCCTGACCCCAGACCTCCCGAGTGAGAAGCTCCGAGTGAGAAGCTCCACTTGAAGGAGACCCACAGGTGTTTCATGCGCATGTGAAAATGTGGGAAGAACTTACAGTCTCGGGATGTGGTTCTGGACCCTAAGCACTTAGGCATTTTCTCAGGAGTAGAAATAACTGAAAGCAGAGAAAATGGATTCACAATTCAGTCCCTCCTTTTTCCTGTAAGAAAATAAATTTTGATTATTTAAAAAATATTTAACTATGCATGATGTAACTCACAACAATGACCAACTGCTAAGAACTGATTATTTAAAAACATCTTTTCTCCCACATATTATCTCATTTAATGTTCACAAAAAGCCAATGGGGTAAGCACCTTTCTTACTCTCATTTTGCAGAAAAGGAAGCAAGGCATACAGATATTAAATAAATTGTCCAAGGTCAACACACTTAATAGCAAGTAAAAACAATTTTTTTAAACAGTAAAATTTACCTGGAACTAAATACCTGGGAACACTTCAAGCATTGCATGCACTGAACATCACCTGTTTCCAGTCTAACACTGAGAGACTTTCTGAGTCACTCGACAGAATGAGGTCCTCATAGCTCAACAAAAACATTTAGCCACCTGTATTCACTTATTAGAGAGAAGAACAGAAACAACAACCACTTATTAAGTGCTTCTATTTACAGTGAATAACGCTTTACTGCTTGCATTTATATTATTTTGTTTCTGTACTTCAACTTTTGCATCTTTTCTGATTTACTTTATAAAAGAGAACTTCACATGGGATTTTGAGGTTTTGTCAAAGGAACTGTGTCTGAATCACCTTTCCACTGCCGGGTGCTTGATGCAGCATTTTGTAGCTGCACAATAAATGCCTATTGAATGTAGAACAGCCTAGCAACTCCAAGCCCTTTCCGCTCCAAAGAAGCCTTTCCATTTTTTTTAGGGCATTTAAAATAAGTAGTTTAAAGACATCATTTGAAACACAGATAAGCTGGAGTAGTTTCCTCATAGAGGGCATGATACCATCTGTGCAGAATGTCTTAGTTCTTTCTCTGTTCTGCACCACGTTTTACTGCAGAGCTTTCCAGTTCAGCGTTTTGTCATCAGAGTCAATGGCACTCTCATTTTGCTGAGTGGGGATGAAGTGGGTCAGTTGTGTGAACCACCCACCCCAGGAGAATTCTGCTCCAGAAGTATCCAGGCACTTTCCTAGGGGAAGAAGACACAGGCTATGGAATAGACTGTGGAATTACACGGATTTAGGTTTGAATTATGGTGCTCTAACTTACTGGCTGGGGCAGTTGACTCAATCTATCTGAATCTCGGTTTTCTCATGTATAAAATGGGATAATAATACCTACTCCATTGGTTTGGTTATGGAGACAAAATGAGATAGTGTATGTAGGTAGTCCAGCAGAGGATCTGGAACACAGCAGACACAAAATAACAGGGGTTGGGGGGATTTGCGGAGGTGACCAGATGAAGTCAGCAAAACCACTATTTTCTCCTAAAGTGTGGGGAGAGCATAAAAACCAGACAGGCAGAGAAGTCTTTTCCAAAGGCATGAATAGGACACTTCTCAGACTTCCGTGTCATTGACAATGCCCATCTCCATTCCCTCCAAGACCAGATGGCTTCTTATCTCAGCATCTTAGAGGATCTGAAAAGGTCTCAGATGGTGTGGGCCATGTGATGAGACCTGATTCCCCGGGATGACACCTAGTGTAACTAACCTTTTTTTGATCGGTGCAAGAAAAATAGCATTCTGCAAGTTGTTCCCAGGATGGCATCAGTTTTGAAAAAATGTTCTGAATGAGGTTTTACTCCATTAATTTCCATCACTAAGTTGTAGCCCAGGAAGGTTAAGGCACTTGCCCATTGTCCCAGAACAGATAAGTGATGGAACCAGGATTCAAACCAGGTCTGTGTGGCTCCAGAACCCTTAGGTCTGGGCTATACTGCTTTGTGTGGAAATGGAATTGGTGTCTGGGAAGTTGGGTTTCTACTCTCTCTTCCTGCTACAGGAAGGAGAACTGAGGAAATAAACCCACCCTTCTCTCAAAGTGGAGTGGGAAGGAAAATCCAGGCTCAGGTCTGCATGGCTAACCGGATCAGAAGGCTCTTTCTGTCCTCCAGAGATGGCCTCCTCTAGTTAATCATTGAGCTCCTGCTCCTCAGCCCAGGAGAGGTGACCTACCAGCACTGGGGTGGCATAAATGGCTGCTCACCAAGCAGAAGTCGTCCTCCAGCCATTCCTGGAGAAGCGCAGCCAAGCCCATTGTAGCTTTGATCCTTCCTTTTACCCCCTTGGGAAATGCTGGGGATGGAGAGAAAATTTCAGCCTTTGTAACCTTTGTTCCTGGTGAATGCTTAACATTCTCCAAAGAGAAATTTAAAGGAGCAGCCCAAAGAATTCCCAGCTGTCTATGCCTAGTTCTGCTTAATAAGCCAGTGGCACAGGGGACAGGCTGCTCACGAATAGTCTCACTCCTCACACCCAACAAACTCTAACTGGCTGTTGCTGATGGACTGACAGTGGGAAGCTGCCTTGTGAGCCGTGAGAAAGTCCCAGGAACATAGGCAGAGGAGGAAAGCCAGCTGAGCTTAGGTGCTGCAGAGTTCTAATCTGCCACACCCCCTCCAGAGATCCTCCATGCACTGCAGCTCCCCTGGGCCCAGATTCCAGGCAAAGTTTAGATGGATGTCCTTGCTTTGTTCTTCCGTCTCAGACAAACATGCTACATAGAAGTGTTAGCGGAAAGGGGTCTGGATCCAGACCCCAAGCGAGTGCTCTTAGATCAAGGGTAAGAAAGAATTCAGGGTGAGTCCGCAGAGTAAAATGAAAGCAAGTTTATTAGGAGAGTAAAGGAATAAAAGAATGGTTACTCCATAGACAGAGCAGCCCTGAGGGCTGTTGGTTGCCCATTTATATGGTTATTTCTTGATGATATACTAAACCAGGGGTGGATTATTTATGCCTCCCCTTTTCAGACTATATAGGGTAACTTCCTGACATTGACATGGCATTTGTAAACTGTCATGGCACTGGTGGGAATGTAGTGGTGAGGATGACCAGAGGTCATTCTCATCATGATCTTGGTTTTGGTGGATTTTGGCAGGCTTGTTTTTTTTTTTTTTTTTTTTAGACAGAGTCTTCTCTTTGTCGCCCAGGCAGGAGTGCAGTGGTGTGATCTTGGCTCACCGTAAACTCCGCCTCTTGGGTTCATGGCATTCTCCTGCTTCAGCCTCCCGAGTAGCTGGGACTACAGGCGCCTGCCACCATGCCTGGCTAAGGTTTTTTTTTGTGTGTGTATTTTTAGTAGAGATGGGGTTCCACCATGTTAGTTGGCTGACTTCTTTACTGCAAGCTGTTTTATCAGCAAGGTCTTCATGACCTATATCTTGTGCTGACTTCCTATCTCATCCTGTGACTTAGAATGCCTAACCGGCTGAGAAGGCAGCCCAGTAGGTCTCAGCCTCATTTTATCTAGATCCTATTCAAGATGGAGTTGCTCTGGTTCAAATGCCTCAGACAGAAGGATTTCCAGAGACAGGTGAAGTATTTAGGCTGAGATGGGGTTGGGCTGGAGCCATTGAGCCCTTCCACATACTTCCCTGGATGTGCTGCTTTCAACAGAGGGCTGTTGTAGAAGGAAGAAACATTTCCGTGTCTTGTTCAGGCTGGGACAACACATCAAATGAAGACATTAAGTCCCACAGAGAGTAAGTCAGTTCTCGCACTTGCCTGGCTGCATGCTGCCAGTGGAGAGGGAGGAATATTCCCAGGACCAGCATGGCAGGAGGTCATATTAACAAGCCTGACCATGGCTCCTCATTCCATGGAGTGACGATCAAGGGGCTGACCTCAGCTGCTAGAAGTCCCTTTGCAACATGGAGCAAATAAAAGGAGCCACAGGGGGAGAAAGCCAAAGAATAAAATAATTTCGACAGGATGCCCAACACGTGATCCCTCTAGGCCAGAATTCTCTGATAATACTAATGAATATTGTTGTGGGAGTTGGGGAGGAGGGTGCTTACTGTTGACCAGGGCCCATGCTTTTTATGAATTTATTTTAGAAATGTCTTTCAATAACCTGATAATGTTAGAAGACTACCAAAAGTTGTGTTTTTGTGTTTGTCTTTTAATTAAGGCAACCTAAAAAATTGGCACACTCCCCTTCCACCTCCTGACTCTGCCCCAAGAAATCAGCTCTTCTTCAGTAGCACATTAGTGATCTGTAACCCATAAAGGAGCAGAGGTAACTTAATATATAGCAAAGAGCACTGGACTAAGAAAGTCCACTGCCTTCCCTCCAAAAGATGATTGTGTCCTTGGGCAGGTCACTTTGCCACTCTGGACTCAGTTTCCTCACCTGTGAACTGAGGATTGGCTGGACTAGACCCCTAGTCCTCAACCTTTATTGTGAATTAGGGTCTTCTGCAGAGTTTGGGAAAAATACTAATTTTTATTGCATAGAGACACATACCCCTACAACACATAAATGCATGCATGTAAAAATGGTGAAAAATGAATAGTCTGTAGTCTAGTTAATAGCATTGTACCAACGTCAACTTCCTGATTTTGGTATTGTCTTCCATATATTTAAGATGATAATCACCATTGGGGGAAGTTAGGTGAAGGGTACATGAGACTGTATGTATGATTTTTGCAACTTCCTACAATTTTAAAATAAAAAGTTAAAAAAAACCCTAATGCCCAAGTTCCATCCCAAAGGTTGTGATTCATTGGTCTGGGACTTGGACGTCAATGTTTTTAAAACCTCCTCAAGTGATTGCAATGTGCAGCCATGGTTGATAACTACTGAACTAGGCGATCTCTAGATCCCTTTCCAGCCCTAAAATATTATCAGTCAAATTTATCTAAACCCTTCTTGAAACTATTTACATGTTCAGTGTGCAGGGGTAAGATGTTAAGTTTATTACCTGCTGTATAAAAACTTTCTTGAATTTGTCCTACAGTTACCCCTTCTTTGAGTGATCCAAGCTCTAGCCTCTTTCACTCCCAAGCAGTGTCATCCTCTAGCTGTGTCCTGGAGGTGCATCTTCTCAATGGATGCTCTTTGCCATGACTCCGACCTTCTCCATGGGCCACCCACCCCTCACTGGCTGCCAACCACTTCCTATGATCCCTCGATTGCAACTCCCTGCAATAAGATGCTACCAGCTCCATATGATTCTCAGCAGAGAGGGAGGAACTGGGCAGGCCATGCTCCCCTTTGCAGTTTCTTCACTTTATTCTCTATACTTCCACCGAAAGCATTATGGTATACCAGAATCACAGCGAACCCATTTGAGGATGCACTCCAATTCCTCATTCAGCTCCATGTCCTCTGATAAGTTCTCCTTTCAGAGAACTCCTTTCTTTGTACAGCCACAGTGAAATTCTTTACCCCATCCCCCTTTAGGGAAAGTGATGTCTATCCCCAATTTGATCTATTTCCAGGATTCACCCCTTTCGTTCATCAGGATAATCCTAGAATTTCAGTAACCCACAAAGGAACTCCTCTCAAAATCTGAGATAATCAACCAAGAATTACACAATGGAGGAGGGAAAGTGGTGGCTTCACTAGGACTGTCCCAGGTGAGCTTTGGCATTCCAGGTCCTGTTGTGACAGGTTAAGGAGCTGATGTCTCCTCTTTCCTCCTGATTATCCAGGTGGTAACTAGTGGAACACACACACACACACACACACACACACACACACCCCTCCATATTTCTCAAATAACAATTGTATGTTCTCTATCCATGTTAAGAAAAAGAAATTTTTCTTTTCTTTTTTTAAAATTAGTTTTTATTTCCATAGGTTATTGGGGAACAGGTGGTGTTTGGTTACATGTATAAGTTCTTTAGGGGTGATTTGTGAGATTTTGGTGCACCCATCACCCAAGCAGTATACACTGCACCCAATTTGCATTCTTTCAGCCCTCATCCCCTTCCCATCCTTTCCCCTTAGTTCTCCAAGTCCATTGTGTTATTCTTATGACTTTGCATCCTCATAGTTTAGCTCCCACTTATGCGTGAGAACATACTATGTTTAGTTTTCCATTCCTGAGTTACTTCACTTAGAATAATAGCCTCCAATCTCATCCAGGTAGCTGCGAATGCCATTAATTCATTACTTTTTATGGCTAAGTATTATTTCATCATATACACACACACACACACACACACACACACACACACACCCCACAGTTCCTTTATCCACTTGATTGATTTGGGTTGGTTTCACATTTTTGCAATTGCGAATTGTGCTGCTGTAAACATTTTGTATGCAAGTATCTTTTTCGTATAATGAGTTATTTTTCTCTGAGTAGATACCCAGAGGTGGGATTGCTGGATAAAATGGTGGTTCTCCTTTTAGTTCTTTAAGGAATCTCCACACTGTTTTCCATAGTGGTTGTACTAGTTCACATTCCCACCAGCAGTGTATAAGTGTTCCTTGTTCACCGCATCCATGCCAACATCTATTATTTTTTGATTTTTTGATTATGACCATTCTTGCAGGATTAAGGTGGTATCACATTGTGGTTTTGATTTGCATTTCCCTGATCATTACTGATGTTGAGCATATTTTCATGTTTGTTGGCTATTTGTATATCTTAGCTCATTTTTTGGCTATTCATGTCCTTAGCCCACTTTTTGATGGGGTTGTTTGTTTTTTCTTGCTAATTTGTTTGAGTTCATTGTGGATTCTGGATATTAGTCCTTTGTCAGATGTGTACATTGTGAAGATTTTCTCCCACTCTGTGGGTTGTTTGTTTACTCTGCTGACTGTTTCTTCTGCTGTGCAAAAGCTCTTTAGTTAAACTAAGTCCCAGCTATTTATCTTTGTTTTTATTGCCTTTGTTTTTGGGTTCTTGGTCGTGAAATCCTCGTGCAAGCCAAAGTCTAGATGGGGTTTTCCAATGTTATCTTCTGGAATTTTTATCATTTCAGGTCTTAGATTTAACTCCTTGATTGATCTAGAGTTGATTTTTGTAAAAGGTGAGAGATGAGGAACCAGTTTCAGTCTCCTACATGTGGCTTGCCAATTATCCCAGCACTGTTTGTTGAGTAGGGTGTCCTTTCTCCACTTTCTGTTTTTGTTTGCTTTGTCGAAGATCAGTTGACTGTATTTGCATTTATTTCTGGGTTCTCTATTCTGTTTCATTGGTCTACATGCCTATTTTTATACCAGTACCATGCTGTTTTGGTGACTATGGCCTCATAGTATAGTTTGAAATCAGGTAGTGTGATGATTCCAGATTTGTTCTTTTTGCTTAGTCTTACTTTGGC